GTCTGAGCATATGGGTAATATATTAAAAACAGGCAATAAAATTTTAGTGCGACAAAAATGATGTACGATATCCACCTAAAAGCAAACTTAGTATGTATAGTTAACTTGTAGGAGGGGCTGAGTATAATATTAAAATAGGGTTTTTATAGTTCCTCAACACTAAATTTTTTCTGTCAAATTGGGATAAGACATTTCGTAATTTTAATCAGCATATATTTTCGATCAAGACGGCATATCATTTATCCGCTAGAAAATTATGTATCTTTTTGTATTAGTAAATAGTAATTATAAAAATAGGGAAAGTGACCCCTGTATAGCGAACATAGCTCCCTCAACTATTCACAAAAAGGTTGTTTATGACTAGGTTCAATGTTTTTGTAGAAAGCCTGTTTTGACTTTCTTAGCTCAATTATGAAAACTCGAAAACTTACTATATAATGTTATTATTAAAATAAATTAATCGGTCAAATGGGACTTGCACATGATTCTCTGTACACTTTAATGTAATACGAATAATTTTACAAATTAAGATATTTTATACACAAATGGTACAAGATATCCGGGCCATCAGACCTAACTTATTTTTGAAGTAAATAAAAAAATTAGGGAATAAGTGGTGTTATAAATATATATATATATTTATATGTAAGTTATTAGGTCGGCGCCAATTACGTGAAAATCATTACTAGGACAATGTTACCGGATCCCTGTGATTCGAATTTTAATAATGTGATAAAATAATAAAAACAAAGATGAACAATTTGAGTATTCATCTTAAGTGACAAAATGCCGATAAACGTAAGAAAATTATAAATTCGTATGCAATTTTTTTTTTAAGTTTATCACGCTTATCGAGTTTGCTGGTTATTTATTACTTTAGTCTGGTGTAAATATTTTTGTATAAATTAATTGGTATAAAATTATAATTAAAAAAGTGTTGCCATGAAATAAACGAAATTTATCATAATCTTATAAGTTATAAAAAGNACGGCTCCAAATGAGAAGAACAACCAAACAACTCGAGTCGATAGAAGAATACATAACTTATGGATTCAGTATAAAAAAGAGTGCGCGCCAAACACATAGTTATAAAAAAAAGCGGTCACAAACATAATTTGCGAGTGCATTTCAAATTCAAAAATGTTTAAACAAAAATATAAATTAATCCAAAATGAAAGTGATGATTTTACGAATGTAAATACCATTGACGATGCTGATTACGATGATAATAAAAACTTACATTCCAATGAAAGCCACTGGAAAACAGGACATATTTTAGTATTTTGTGCTTTAATTCTAACTGTACATTTGATTTATACACAATCGTCTCTTGATGTAGCAAATGTCACATATGAACATAAAAATGCAACGGAAGTTGATGATATTATGACAAAAAGTAAGCGAATAGGGTTCAAAATCTTTAGCTACTCTACTAATATAGAGTATTGATTACACATTAGGTTCTAATATCCGTCCGTAAATCGAGAGCAAAAAGGAACTCTAAAATTTTTCATTGCACAACTTTATTTGCAGAAATGATCGGAAAGGACAGAAAATTTCAAAATTGATTTTTCCAAAGCAGATAAATCTTTGATGCAATTCCGTAATGCAAGTGAGAACTTTGTACCCTATTTTATCTTAACATTTACACCACGAAAATCACTAAAAAATTTTTTTTTTCTACCAAACTGTAGGATGTGAATGTGCTAAGTTTCAGGACAAATCTTGCATCGCCCGAAAATAAAGTGTAAACAAAAAAGTGCCCGTATTTTGTCGTTTTTCTAAATTTGTATGCAATTTTTTTAAGGTAAACTGTTTGGTTATTTGAGGGGATTTTCTCAAAAAATAACTCTAAGAAACTATTTTTATTCATAAAAAAATCCATTTTTGGAGGTGTTTTCAAGTCAGTCCAGCTCACGTAAATCGTAATATTCTTCCGAAATATTTGGGTGGAGTTCTTAAATATAATAGATTTTATAATTTCAATGAAAACACACTACCGATTTTTTTTTTTGTATATGGAGTGATGCAGTCTAATGTACATATATCGTGCATCACCTAAGGGTGAAAAGGTGCCAAGTTCTTTTTTCGAAATTGTTCAGGAGAGACGAAAAATCGATGTAGTTTTGTATTAACTGCCATTCTGCATTAAAAACTAAATTTTGAAAAAATGGACTTGGCACCTTTTCACCTTTAGTTAGCGATATGTATTCAATTATCCAGCAAGAATTTAACTGCTTTAAAAATCGAAAATGTATATGAAAGTGTCACTTTATAGAGCTCTTTAATTTTATTTGGTTTTTTATGATTAAGGCCATACTTATTTTACAGACATTTTATGCTCATCAGTTGTGCGCAAGTAAACCATTATAAAGCCTTTTCTTTTATCTGGGAAACTACGTACTTTCATAGACCATGGACTGAGCTAGATTTCTTCAAACACATTCAAGTTCGACATATCGCACATTTAATAGTACATACTGTAGAGATGTAATTTAACAGGGGAAACGACTACTGTTTGTCTGAGCATATGGGTAATATATTAAAAACAGGCAATAAAAATTTTAGTGCGACAAAAATGATGTACGATATCCACCTAAAAGCAAACTTAGTATGTATAGTTAACTTGTAGGAAGGGCTGAGTATAACATTAAAATAGTGTTTTTATAGTTCCTGAACACTAAATTTTTTCTGTCAAATTGGGATAAGACATTTCGTTATTTTAATCAGCATATATTTTCGATCAAGACGGCATATCATTTATCCGCTAGGAAATTATGTATATAGTTTATTTTGCGTACCCAATCTTTTTGTATTAGTAAAAAGTAATTATAAAATTCGGACTACAATTGAAGCCATGGTAATGTAACTGACATTTGTAAAAAATAGTGATGTTGCTAGCATACATTACTCGGTTGGAGAAATTCATAGGGAAAGTGACCCCTGTATAGCAAACATAGCTCCCTCAACTATTCACAAAAAGATTGTTTATGACTAGGTTCAATGTTTTTGTAGAAAGCTTTTTTTGACTTTCTTATTTTTTATCGGTCAAACGGGACTTGCACATGATTCTCTGTACACTTTAACGTAATACGAATAATTTTACAAATTAAGATATTTTATACACAAATGGTACAAGATATCCGGGCCATCAGACCTAACTTATTTTTGAAGTAAAAAAAAAAAATTAGGGAATAAGTGGTGTTATAAATATATATATATATATATATATGTAAGTTATTAGGTCGGCGCCAATTACGTGAAAATCATTACTAGGACAATGATCCCGGATCCCTGTGATTCGAATTTTAATAATGTGATAAAATAATAAAAACAAAGATGAACAATTTGAGTATTCATCTTAGGTGACAAACTGCCGATAAACGTAAAAAAATTATAAATTTGTATGAAATATTTTTTTTAAGTTTATCACGCTTATAGATTTTGCTGGTTATTTATTACTTTAGTCTCGTGTAAATATTTTTGTATAAATTAATTTGTATAAAATTATAATTAAAAAAGTGTTGCCATGAAATAAACGAAATTTATGATAATCTTATAAGTTATAACTAATCTGAACATTACTTCGTTGAAATGAATCACTTTTGTTAATAAATGGACTTTGAAAGCAAATCTTTTATTTCTCATTTGTACCGTTAAATTTTTGTAAATCCAACAGTTCGAAAGGTATCGATGTGCCTCTTAGAAAAACATTTAGCCTGTGCCGATTTCAATGAAAAGTGTTACAAATGACCAAAGTCGAAAATGTGAAATGTGTGAAGTGAAATTTTCGATAATTTGTGAAAATTTCACACTTTTAGTTGATTCTATTTTACATAATTTTTAAAGTTCGATATAAAAGTGAATTCAAGACAGTAAATTTCGAGCCTAAGATAATGAAAATCGGATGAGAAATGTAGACGTTATGGCGCATTCTGCACAAATTATATATATATGTATTTTTGTAAAGGGAACATCAATACTTTTCGATCTGTAGGTCGTTTAAGTCGATTAAAGAGATATTGACGAATAACGTTTTTTCTGAATATCTCGAAAACGCTTCTTTGAAGAAATGGGTATTTTTTTCGTGTTCAACGAACCAAAGTTTGCCTCGAAAATACCGTTTTACAGAGGTTCATTTCTCGTGTAAACTAGTGTAATTAAAAAAAAGGATTTATACCCATGAAGAAAATGTGATTTATATTCAAAGCTTACATACATACATATGTATTTACATACGTAGTATACAAATAACAAAGAAAAAATAAAAAAAATTTTAAAATATTAATCCAATTTCTATACTTGTATCGTCAACTGAAATGCAAAAGCGTAACAAGCATCATCGTTGTAATGCTAAAAGTCATAACTAATAAAAAATTCAAAACTCACTTTTTGATTTATATGATGGATTTCACGAATTATGTACATCATTTTATGAAAAAAAATTTAAATATTAGTCACGACTTTTTCCATTTCATTTACGATGTTGTTACGTTTTGTTGCATTTCAGATGACGATATGTAGGTATATTTTTTGAAAAGTTGTTCTGCATTTCCAATTCATATTTATGGTCACCGTAACTAAATGGCGCCAGTGTGCAAAATTTCATGATGATCGGAAGAGTAGCTAAAGCATGAAAGCGTAACAAACAAACTCACTTCCGAATTTAAATGCATATAATGAGGCGTATTCTTGTTTTCGTACGAATCGAAAATTTGAAATTTTTGTAAAAGATTTCGAATTACTTTTGCTTTTTCGAATTTCTGTACCACTTTTGGACGTGCCATTAATCGAATATATAAACGAAAAGGAATAGAACAAGTACCTTAATCCTTTTGGAGACTATGCATTTTTTATTTCTCTTGCTTCTAATATCAATATAGTGGACTTAGCAAATTTTTACTCTAAGCTAGCGATATACATACATACATGTACATAAAAAACTTTGAATAACTACATACATACAATGTTATGCTCATTTTTTCTACTCTATAGTCACACAACATCTATCAACATTGCGATTAAACAATACTAACTCAACGAAGAATGCGCATTCTGTGGAAACAATGGTTAAGCAAGCGCCGGAAAAAAAATATTTTATCAACACTTCTCAATGTCGTGTGCCATATGTAGATCCCTTCGAAGAGGGAGTGAAAAAGATCTTCAATCCGAAAAAATTCAAGTACACAAACTGCACTAACGACGAAGCACTCATTACGTCCAACTATCAGCTGAATATACGTCAATACTTTCTTCATATGAATATGCCGGCTATCGAACGTGCAGCAAAAAATCGAAATGCCAGCGCTTCGGATATCCGCTGCTGTTATCGACAAATTGTGCGTTTTAGGGATAATGACGACGCATACAAGTAAGTAATGTAGGGTTTGCGTAAATGTTGCGTAATGTAGAAAACGGGACACGCCCTGATTTTCTACCAACCATACCTGGTGCTCAATGCCACTGAATCATATTGAAACTGCCAAACATATTGGTTATTTTTATAAAAAGCTTTTGCTGCCATGTCAACTGAAGCTTTCAACATTTTTAAGCTTATTTAATTTGAAATGTTCTTAGGCTACTTCTCCAATTGTTTGGTTAATATATTGTCGCTACAATGTCAAACATACGTAAAGGGGCTAGCAGTCAACGGCGTAGCGTAAACGTACGTTGACGGACGTAGCAACATATAAAATTTACTATTGATAGATAAAGAGAGAAGCAATACACGTCACGCGTAACCGTCGCACGTACACGACATTTGATATGGTAGCGACGATACACAGTGGTTCGGATCGCAAATCTAGCTGAACGAAACTATTTAAACAAATACTCGTTGATGGATCTTTACACCACTTCTTACCTAGGGGATTTTTGAGTCGCTGATTACGGAAATGGCGGATCCAATATGGCGGACGAAAATTAAAAAAATCGGTAGTTTTCTATGAAACTGGGTATTTGGGGGTTTTCTGGGTCGCTGATTACATATTTAAAGTCATTTACCAAAAATCCAAAATGGCGGATCCAATATGGCTGACGAAAATTAAAAAAATCGGTAGTTTTCTATGAAACTGGGTATCTGGGGGTTTTCTGGGTCGCTGATTACATATCTAAAGTCATTTACCAAAAAT